GATGGCGGGCCAGCCCCTGCCGCGCACACGGGGGAGGACGGGGGCGGCGCCCCGCGGGACCCACCTGATTGGAGCCAGGGTTCGGAACGTTGATGATCCCTGCCGCCTGCTTGGCCTGCAGGTAAGTGATGAAGGCGGCCTTAAGGGACTCTGTCTGGCTGACCACGTCTTCTTGGTCGCGACCACAGGGCAGGGCCAGCAGCAGGCAGTAATCTGTCTCCACCTGGGGCAGAGAAGCCAGTGGTCAGGGACCGCCTAACCGAACGGCGGCCAGGACGACGAGTCCGTGAAAACCCTCCTCTGAGGTGACTTTGTCAAAATAAAAAAGCCTCGTTTCCGGGTGTAGGGATATTTCAGGGGGTAAGAACGCGCCTTTTCCTGTCCACTTCAAGAGCCGTGCCCCACGCCGGGAGAAAGGCGGGAACACCTGGGCCCCCCTCCCCGTGCGCGGGCAGGGCGTCGGGGCCCACGAGTGCTCACTGTCATTCTGCGGGCCACCCCTTCCAGCTGCGAGGCCTCCAGCCGCATCCTCTGGGCGATCCTCAGCGGGGGGCCTCCTTCCGAGAGCGGCAGGGACCGGTGGGCCAGGACGTTGTTGCCAGAGACGAAGTGCAGCTGCACGGCAGCCGTGTCGTTCTTGAGAGCCAGCAGGCCCTGCCACACGATGGGGTACTTCTGCTCCCGGGAGACAAAGCACAGGTTAGCTTGGGGCTGGAGAGCGGGCCGGGGCCCTGGGCCGCAGCTTGCTGGCCGAAGTCAACTGGGGACCCTTAGGACGCCCAACAGCACAAAGCTGGGGGGCTCCTCACCCATGCTCACCTTCAGGAGCTGGACCATATCCACAGACCTCTGGGGAGTCAGGTGTGGAGAGGACGCTGGCTTGGGGGCCGGCTGGACTTCAGCGTGCGCCAGGGCCAGCCCTGGTGGGGTGCTGGGGCCTGAAGTTGTAGGGACGAACAATGGCTGCTTTGGAGCGGCCTGAGTGGGCAGAGGGGCCGGGAGGTCCGGCTTCATGGAGACCGACACGGGGGAGGGGTAGGAAGTCTGGCCTTCCACTTGCGCCCTCTGAACCTGGGGGGTGTGGGGTTCAGGCGGCCTGGACGCAGGTACAGCTGGGAGGCGGGGCTGCTCGATTCCTCCTGTCTGAGTCCCCTTCGCCTCTTGGGAGACCTGAGGCACCTTGCTGCAGGGCGGCGGCGGTGGCGGGCCGGGCTGGCTG